AAACAGTATACTCTGTTATGTCCATGGTACTGCTCATGTCTATAGGCGACGGTTACCACTTTACATCAGATGGGCTGTCAGCTTGTTTGCCATTCTAAGTTGTATAAAAAAAAAATTAAATAGATCTACTCTGAAGTCGTCTTCATCAACTGATAAGCTATCATTATAAAACATACTATGCAAAGATCTAGATATTCTTAGGGTATGTTCTGCGGTCAAAATTTTGACTTTTTCTATGATTCTTTGCACTTCTGTGCAAATTTTCATAAGTATTACAAATAGCCAAATGGGATTTTTGTAATGTGTGATAATGAAATGGTAACCTTGATTACGCTATTGATTTTCGCTAGCGGATTACCAGTGAACGATGATAGGTAAAAGAAGGCAGGTCAGTAGTCCATCGTGACGAATTCACCAGAAATTAAACAAGATAATATGTATTATTCTTTAAATGGTGCGATAAAGTATGAATAAATAAATAAATAATTTCCATGGAAAACTACGTGAAGATCCGTCCGACAGGTCAGATTGGTATGTGACTAACAATTAATTTCTACGCTCATCATATAATTATAATATCTTCTTTTTATGGATGATAATGGAATGGTAACCCCACCGGAGATCGACCTGACAGGGTATATTGTTAGTAATGAGACTGGTAGCCCGCATTACTAATAATCCCCCCCCCCCATCATTATGATATCAACCGTCTACTGTCCACTGCAGAACATAGGCCTCTCCTTAGGGTGAGAAGAGGATTTAAGTTTTTATGATGTTTTAAGAGGGACGCTACACATCCCTCGTGTAATAAGTTCCCTTAGTCGCCTCTTACGACACCCAACGGGAAAGGAAGAATTCCCATACCCCCTACCCCATAACTTTAAAATGAATAAATTATTAACTGAATGTGTATTGTATAGAACTTATCCTTTTGATACTAGAAACATAGTGCTTGTCCAAAAACTTAACAATATTACAATAGGTAATATATCAAACAATTTGATTTGATTACTACCTTCATAGGTGTCGATATTAAAATTCAAATTAATGTATAAATTACATAGAATCTACATAATAATTGCTAGCAATCATATGAGCGGTATTAGTGTTTAAATTATATATATAAAACTAAGCTGGACATATTATATTGTTGAGAAAGTGGAAATAAAATAGAGATTGTAGTTAGTAATGTCATGTGATCGAGTGATGAACGGTAAAAGTTGTCTTTACAAGTATACGGAGAAAATTATAAATATAAGGTAATATAAAACATATGTATAATATAATTTTAGTCGCCGATGTTTATATAGTTGATAATAATGCTATATAGATATGTAATAGATTTACTAACAAATTATTAAATATATTACATATATATTTGGTGGTCCCGGCATAGAATAGGCTACCCCTTCCTTTCCTATGGTGGCATAAGAGGCGACTAAGGAAGGCGAGGGATGAGCAGCAGCATCCCTCTTCAAATATCTCTAAAGCCTGTTACTGATCTACTTACCAAGCGTGGGAACTACTGACAAAACCTTTCTTAAAATATTATTCTGATTCTATTAATATTTTATATATATATATATATATATATGAAAGATATTTGGATGTTTTACTCAAACGCTTAAACAGCTGAATGAATATAGATGAAATTTTGTACATGGATAGGTAATATATTTTATATACATACATATTATAATCAAATTTCATAATGCAAGGGGGTAACACTAGTAAATATATTAACTCACTTGCACATTTATAATATTAGTAAGGATTAATGTAAAAATGAGGTTGTTTCTTTGTCACTTTTTGACTCCATAACGAGTACAACTGATTTTCATGATTTATTTTTTATTTATTTTCTATGACACACGAAACGAAATGAAAAGAAACGAGCATACGGCTCACCTGATGATAAGTGTCTACTGCCGTCTATAAATACCCGCAACAACAGAGGCATTGAGGCACGGCTTAGTATATATCCGTGATAAATAACTACAATTTTAATATATTTATACTACTTGGTACAGAAATAAATTTATTATTTAATTTAATTATCACGTTCTCATAAATTATCATTGTTTTTAAAACAAAATTCGCACCTCTCCTCTTAAGGAGAGGAGATGGTGTTTATTACTGTTATTTAATTAATACATCTCAATATTTTTTTATGTATACGACGTGGTCGTTAACCGTGAACCGATTCTGATGAGTCTTTTTTCAAACACATCCATTCGTTGACCACTGTTATGTTTTACATGTTTATTAACTTTCAAATTACTATTTCTTTTTTTTTTTATAAAACAGTCTTAAGAAACCAAAAGGTTGTATTAAATGATTCGTATTGTTGGAACGACATAGAGTCATCTAGCGAAAACTTTTTTTCGCCCATTCTAATTTCGGCTCGGTATTCATTAACATAATTTATTCATACACCTATAGTAGTAATAATGTATCGTCAAAACTTTCTCCTTCAAATAACTAAGCAGAAGTTATTAAGTATTTTTTTTTAAGACTTGAGAACGAATACAAATTTTTGTATGGAATCATAATTGATCCACCTACGGATTGAATGGTAGAAAATAAATCATTTATGGTAGGTATTGATTGATATTGATGGTGCTGTTATGGCATTTGATGGGATTTTAACTTATAATAATTGCTTACTTATAGTTAACTTGATTGGTTTCACCAATTACGTTTGTTATAAAAATTAAATTGAGGTATAATATAACTGTTTTACAACGGTTATTGGTATTTAATGATAACGTTTATAAAGAGAAAAAGCATTCATATATGGAGCCCGGATAACAGAGTAATATGTATCGCCCATGACACCCTTCGTACGTCGCCATTCCAAAGGACTATGTTGTCATGACTTTGTAATCTGTATTTTCATTACCATATACCATATGGTAACGAAATTCCCTTTAAATTAACCCTGGCTTACCTTCAAAACGCATAACTGCTTTATGGCAGACACTAATGAGACAGAGGTACCCAAGCAGATGTCTTTTATATACAAAGTCTACCAGTAATATTTGTAAAAGCATTCCATTAAAACTTTATTTTCTTGCGTGGCAAATTTACAGTTTGCACTCAAAATCCTATCTTCGAAATAATATTTTATACTGTTCAGAGTACTTACCGTACAATATATTTTTTATTGAGACAATAGAAAATGTTACTTTCAATTGTCTTGAATGATTAATAAGTATTATTAATTAATCTGTAATGATAATTAAAATAAGTATGAGCCTTATAAATTTCTCTCTTTACTACGCCTATACAAATATTTTGTGTAAAGTTGCTCAAAATAAGTTTTAGCATGAAGAAAGTCCCAGTGGTACACCTTTAGTGAGAGCTATCACCTACGCACTTGTGAAATTCATTGCCTTATCTCTTTTACTAGGCGTTCAGGGTATTCACATTATGATTTGATTTTATATTATCTCTGCCTTTTTAACTCTTGTTAAACACTTCAGCACCATTGGCTTACTACCAAAGGGTGCTATCCTTATATCTACTAGTATTAACAACGCAGCCGGGTTTATCCTTATGATTTCTAAGAAGGACCGGCTGGATTATTGACCTGACAAAGTATATTATTCAGAATGGGGTCATTAATCCCGTCTCTACTAATTTCTCAGTCCTCCACTACTGTGATAAAGCAATTTAAAAGAAATTATCAATTTAACTGTCTGTTTTTTGTATTAGATTTCGCGATATCTTTACTGGTTCTGATTAGACTGATATTGATAATTTTAAATTAAATAGTCTTGTTTTTGTAGCATATTTAATTTGGTCAAAATAGAAGTTTTTTTTTTTTAAATAAAATATCAAATTATATAGACAGATTTTTAACAATTTCACACAGACAAAAATTAAAAGAAATAAAATATTGATTTTCAAATTTAGCTAATAAGTGTATCTGGTGTAAAATATCGCTGTTCCTAGATATCCAACATTATTTGAGTTTTATATATGCTATTTTTTTAAATTAGACGCGTTCAAATTAAGATTTGTTTTAAAAAACGCTTCGAATTATTACTAGTAACTTACGTAGAGTACTACTCCGTTAAAATTACGTCTATCAATTAAGCTACAATTATTCATTCAAACAGCCATTTTGACTAATTGGGTACCAAATATTGTAAATATCTTTTTTTTTAATATATGACAGTAATTAGAGTTAGTTATAATACTACAGTCACATTACCTAGAATATATATAAGAGATAGCTGCAATACGTGGAAATACATACAAGTAGTATTTGGAACAAATAATTGTATGTCAAATTTGACCTTCTGAATTATAAGATTTGAGAATTACTTTGAGAATTATGGCCATACACTGTACTAACTGTAAACTCTAGGCCATCTTATACGACATGAGGATTTTTTAAAGAGCATAATAGAAAGAAAAATAGAGGGCAAAAGAGGAAGAGGAAGACCGAGGAATAATTACATGGGACAGATATAAGAAACACTAGGTGTCATGTCGTATAAAGAGGTGAAGGATATGGCCTGGGATAGAACTGGCTGAAAGAAGATGCATGAATTAGTTGCACCGACAAGAGGAAACTCTTAAATAAAAAAAAGAGACTGTATTAAAACTTCATAGTCTCCGTTTATTTATTTTTCGTTTTTTTTTTTTGGTCTACCTCGTCAATGATTAAAAATGTATTTATTGGTTCTTCAAAAAAGGGGTAAAAAGGTTTCTTTAGAATAGGCACCGCGCACGTAATTTTCCTGTATTGCAGACGTTTATAGGCTACGGTAACCGCTTATGATCAGGTAGGCCATATGCTTGTTTGCCACCTCAGTGGTATATATAAACAAATTTAAGTATGAATGCAACTATTGGATCGAGTACTGCAGTTTCAAAAAATCTACTGGGTTTCGGCTTATTACGACTTATATTCGTAATGAATAACTATTTTCTGTCATGTCGTTATATATATTTATATGAATAATAAGTAATTAAAAGAAATGTAATGCATATTTTTGTTTTATTTTAAATATAATTGTTAAGTAAATTAGATAACAAAATGATAACAATAATTGCTATTAAATGCTGTTTGGTTTAAGTCTTAATTATACAATAATAAATAACTTAATACTTGCAATACAATAATATAAATAATCTCATTCGCACACACACACATTTACACATCAAATACATACAAGTTTCGTGATACACGATACTGAGAAAATTGTGATAAATAATAGAAAAACATTCACAAAGACTTAATTGAAATACATAGATAGACAATAGAGATCAATCTGTAATACAACAATACTAAATAAATTTATAATAATTACAAAAGCACTTATAATACTTACAATAAATAAATACTTACATAACTCAAACTTGTATAAATATTATGAAAAAAGAAATATTTGGCACTTAAAATATAATAAATAAAAAAATAAAATAAAAAATATAATTCAAATAATTATCATTACATACATACATATATTCAGCCTTGTCTTTAATATATTTCCAATTATATGTCTAAATAAAATACTTATATACACTGATCATACAATCATACATACAATTTTTGATACAACTATCTAACCTTTTGATATTTCCTTTTCAGTCAAATTGACTTATTTTCAATAGAGAAAACCATAAGAATGTAAAATGACCGAAAAGAAAAAAGGAATATAAGAAATAAAATTAAAACCCAATCATACAACACACATACACATGAAAATTGTGAGGTCCAAGTAATCCGGGTAAATTTTTGGTAAATTTACTTTTGATAATGAGAATATGCCAGACTGGAGCCATCATTCTTGGAACGCGACCAGCCTCCATCCCAGCCTTCGTGCCCATGGTGTTCCTCCACATGAGGTACCCATCCGTGTTCTTCTTCATGGTGCTTCTTGTGCAGAAGTGCTTTGAGGATGGCGATGGCTTTGACAATGAAAGCAATCTTGGCCATGACTGCCAATTTGTAAAGGGAAGCAGCCATCACAACAAGAGACAAGGTGATTATAGCCACAGCCTTTGCTTTAGCGAGCAACAGCAGGGGAATTAGCAATCTCAACTTCTTTTTAGCTTCCTTCTTCTTACCACGACCTTCTTCAACTGTAAACATGAATAAAAATTAGTTCGAATAATATTGTACCAAGACATCGTACACTATATCAAATAGTTTGAAAACATGTAAGGATTGTTATATTTTTAAACAATGTCTATTTTTTAGGTAGTCATCTGGTACAAATATATTTTAAGTTTTTTTTAGTTTGTTCAATCTATGTAGATTATTTCTTTTTATCCTGCAAAAGTAACGATTGAAACTCGCGTCACTTATTTATTGGTTCTAATTAGAATAACTATTTGCAGTTTAATTTTTTTTTAACTATTTAATTTACAATAGTATGAAACCTTCAGAAAAATAATAACGAGGTATAAAAAGTAGATCCAGTGTAAGTAATACTCATTCCTGAGTTTTGTAAAATGTCGTTAAAAAAATTAAATACCTATAAATTGTAAATAATAAAGTAGACAATCAAAACAAAATAAAAGTGAAATTATCACAAATAAAACACTAATCGATATACGATAAGGCTGTAATTACGACAATTAATCTAACCATAAAACACGCGTTACAAACTTGACCCACATATAAACCTGATTCTATTATTGTAAGTTTCTAATTCGAATCGGAAAAAGTTCGTTTCTCTCCTATGTTATAAATACGTAGAAATTTCTAGTAAGTCATACATATATGTTTTTTTCTCAACCGACTTCAAAAATAAAGAGGCTCTCAATTTGGTTGTATTTTTTTTTATGTTTATTACCTCATCTTTTTTACAGGAAAAAAAGAATTGCTAAAACACTTTTTTTATTGACACTTACAAATTTATCTTAATGTGATTTTATCAAAATCGGTTCAATATTTTTAATTATGGTAAATTAAGTTTAATTATATGTACATTTTATTTGCTCATTTTTTTTCTCGTTTGTTGTTTATATTGTATTTTTTACATTGCACTGAATAAAATGTTTTTCTTTCTTTCTTCTTTCTTTCTTCTTCAATACTTTATTTTTTAAATCGAATTACTAGTTTTGCCATAATTTAAATGGGGTCTTTTTTATGGAACACGATTTTAATTATTGTATTTTTGAAGTAACCTACACTCTTAATGTTTAATTTTTAAGTTCATTTTATTAACTCATGACTCGATACTAAATAAATCCTTTTTAAATTTATAAATGTGAAAGTGTATTTGTTTGTTTCGAGTACCACTTCACGCTTAACGACTTGACCAGTTGTTTTGAATGAAAATAGCATATTGATAGTATTTGAAAGGACATAACCTACTTTTTATCCTCGTTCCGCGATCGGCTTTTGTTTTTCCATGTAGACCACTTTAATATCGAATTCATTTTTATTTATATTATTCATATTTCTTATTTTACTTTTATTTTCTATCTTACCATCTTTGACAGCCCGTGATTCCTCTTCTTCATCAGACTCAGTCGAATAACATAATTCCAATTCGCTTCGCTGAAATATATCATTTGTATTCTCCCAAAGTCTTCTTGTAACTTCTTTCTCTCGTAGACCTGGTTCAGTGGGAAGGACATCGAGACTCCTGGCTTCTTTGGGACTGGTATTGAAAATGGTGACACCTTCGAAGAGCTTCAATTTGCGAAGCGTCCCCAATCGTTCAGTCGCCTTCAAAGCATGTTCCTGATGAAAATTATTATTGAATTAATTCATTACAATTCTAATGTGTTCATTTATTTTTTTAAGTTCATAAATTAATACTGTTGTAATTGTATTGTAAAAATTGTAAAAAATATTATCTTATATTAAGAAGATTCATTATTTTTATAAATTACTGAGTATAATAGTATTAAATCCTCATGATTATTTTTTAGTTATATACAAAATCAAATACAAAGGAATTAAATATATTCAGAGGTCTGAGGACTATTCTTATATCAGTTTAAGGGGTAAATCAGCACATACTATAATAAACAATATAATGGTTGAAAAATTGTAAAGGTAGTTAGTAAAATATATACATTAATAAGATTTTACTAAAAAATAATCATTTATAATATCTTTTATCGCAATATTGTAGTAATATTAAAAAAATAGAATTGTAATAATTTGACTAAAATAACTGTAATAACAATTAATTCATTCCAAATGTGTATGCATTTAAGTCGCTTTCGTCTTTTTTTAACACGCAACTCAAATTGAAACATTCTATTCTTTTATTAAAAAAAAAAAGATATTATGATACTGGAAATTAAAAAGTAAATATAATATTTATGCGTTTGATTAATCAATGACAGATACTGTACTGTTCTTCTATAACTCTTCAAAGGCAAGGTCATGACCATGACAGTCATTAAAGACGTAAACAAACTCAAGACATTCATTAGCGTGCAAAACATTACAACATGTTACATTAACCTAATCAATGCCTCACGTTTTGCTACGCTGACCTAGTAATCCAGTTATATTATTATTTACTTTTTTTGCCAGTCAATGAACTTTTGCTAACGTTAAATTCGCTTTCAATGAAGCGGCCGATGCACTTTCATTGACCGGTAAATCACCATGCATTTAATCACTACAAAATCCATACACCACTTCGCCACGTACCTTCAAACACAAACTTAGGTCACTGTTCACGCAATTCACAAAATTGGTCGCCACCGTACGTAACACTGACTCCTCTTGTACTACTGGAGTACATTGAACCACTGCCAAAACACACAACAGTAATCCAAATAACTTCATATTGTTATGGATCCACAAGCTTTCGAGTCCAAATACACTGTGATGACCGCTTGATTGGTAACAGTTTTTTATTTAAAATCCCCCCACTCAATGTTTCGCTGTATTAACATATCAAAGTTATATATGCCACGAGAAAACACGATGATACTATACCATAGTGTTCGTCATAGTTAAGCGTTTATTAATATTAATTTCTGATATTTCACGACCATTCTTACTTTTCTTTTGATGGGTTTATGTCGTAGCTGTTAAAGAGTTATAAAAATAATTTCCTTCTATTAAAATTGTTTTTCAATAGTTTCTGTTCATTTCTATTACAATTAAGTTTTGTTTAATTACTAAAGTATAGATTATATCAGAAAGGAATAAAAAAAGGGACTGTTTTTATGTTTCGAATACATGTATCCACAGCAGAATTTGAAATAAGAATCTAAGATCCGACTAAATGTTGATATACTAATACATACTGCGTTATAGTACAACAAGTTTAAAATAGCATGGTGCCTAGTTGAATAAACAGGTTGTGACAATGGGTTTCTACAAGATACAAGACTTGATATAAAGCTCGACGCCATGCAATAGTACGACAATTCTTACATAAAACTGTTATATTTGCTCAATTCTAATTACTATTATACTTTTACAATCAAACAGAATGTAACTTAAATTGAAAGTAATAATTTGACTTTTGTATCACAGTAAAAAAAATTAAGTTTCGTTGGAATTTAGTCTCGAATAAGCTTTGTCTATGAATTATTAAAAGTCATATTTCATATTAATTTATACATCTCATATTAATTTATTAAATTTTTATGTCTGTATGTGTTTTGGAGTTATCGATAGATATGATGTCAGTGCATGCCATTATGTAATGTAGTAATTTTAAATTCAGTATTTTATTATGCTTTTGACATGGAGGTGCCAAATAAACATACATAATATGTAAAAAGAGAAGTTGTGTAATTACTTAGTAGACATTTTTTTATGCAACTTAGAATGACAAACAAACTGACGGCCCACCTGATGGAAAGTGGTAACCGTCGCCTATGTACAAGACAACGATTATTAACTACTTTTTTAATTTTTATAGTGTGTTTTGTTCTGGTAGCATTTTAGAATATCTTTAAGATTTAAGCATAATAAACTTGTGTGTTTCTAATTTATTAAAAATTAAACATCTGTTTCTTTTTAGGAATGAAAGCTCATTATTTATTTATTTTTTCAATTTATTATTTCTGTCGTAAATTCATTTTTAATAAGCTTTTTTAGTTATCTCTAAATATGTAATATAATTATAAACGAATTTTCATAAACAACAATGATAGCAGCAAATTAGGGGGTTGAAATTAACATGCTCAAGTACCGATTATAATGTGCTTAGTATATTAAAATAGTAGTGTTTACTAAACTGAACACCAAATTAATAGGAGAATGATGGGAATAGATAACTACACAGAGAATAAGGAAAACGATTATGATAACTATATTTCTATAACTGCTAATACAATTTTAACTGTGTCAATTTTAAATGACTTGCAATTTAAAGAAGAAAAACCAAATCTCTAGAGAACCGATTTACAGTCTCATATTGCTGCTACGTATACATTTCTCTCTCTATCATCACGTTTAAGGGTACATTTAGAAGTAGATAACAGGAAAAAAAATAACAACATAGATTTAAATGAAATTATTTTTATTATTTAAATAATTATACGTTTAATAAATAACCGGAGGTACTCATGCGACATCATTAATAAATAATACACAAACACAACACACACTGCATACACGCTCAATAATACTGACAGTCTATAGTTGACCAGCATACGCCATTGATTGGGCATCACTTGCCTGTCTGCTCCAGCCTTGAGCTGGTTCATAGTTGTAGCCAGGGTGCTCGTCATGATGATGTGGGGTAATACTGATAGTAGAACCTGAAGACTGATTCTTTGATAGCAATCTTCTGATGAGGTTGAACGCGTTCATCGCGAAGGCGATCTTTCCAAGGAACACTGCCTTGACTGCGACGAAGGCGATTATTCCCAAGAACAGAGGAATCAGAGCTGCTAACTTCAACTTCAAAAGGAGAAGGAGAGGCAGGAGTTGCTTGATTTTTTTCTTCTTTTTACCACGAGCTGTAAGAAAAAAAAATTCAGAACGATATTTCTATGAACTAAAATTTGATTTTGTATCGAAATCGTCACATTTTGTTTCAATTTACTCATGGGTAAATATCTATAGCCCCTTCTTTTCCCGTGAGTGTCGTAAGAGACGACTAAGAGACCGAGGGATGGCCGAAGGATGGGTCTTTCTTAAAATATCACCAAAAGCTTAACTATGATTGGCAATCCGCCTGTCCAGCGTGGCAAGTAATAGTAAACTGGTGGCGAGGCCTATGTTCAGCAGTGGACAGTTAACAGCTAATTTGATAATGTTGAAATAGCTATTAGCAAATTATTTTACCTATATGATGTTCTAATATAAAAAATTATTTAAACAATTATCTTTAAATAAAAAAACCTTAAAGAATGTAACAATATAAATAAGAAACTATCTAAATATATATTATTTTTTAGCAATTTCACTAAAGATACAGGTGCGGTTGTTTCAACTATTGTTATGTATGCACTTCGAACCTGGCCTCTATTGTGTGTAAAGGCCCTTGCATGCATTGTTCTGTTTAAGATGTATAAGTATGTATGTAAATATTCCTAGAAGAGAAAGCTTACGTTTATTTTAGACTCACTCGCTTTAGACTAATATAGTCTAAGAACAAATATTACAGCTATTTCATTTTGTAACGTAGATACTAAAATATAAGCCAAACTTGATTTATGATTGATACCGAAAATAAAAAAAAGCAAATTTGTGGACATCTTGAAAACAGACTCGATTTCAATATAAGATAATGAAAGGCTAACCAACTTTTATTGAAATTGAAAATAACACTAAAAATAAAATATGTAACAAATTTAAACATTCAAGAAATTAAATTATTTTTGTTTTGTAGTGCAATTAGGCATAAGTAAATGTTAATTATTAATTTGTTTATATTTTCATCGAAAGAGAGAATAGAACTAATTCTACGTAAAATGATGAATGATTTTGAAGTTCGACTATAAATTGTCATCGTTTCAGTCATACATGGTTTGCGTTATTGATTTTACATTTAATACGTTATTCTTGTTGTTATATCATGATACTTAAATTCAACCGAATATTTAACAACAGATTAATTTGTTTTAACAATTAGTTATAACATAAGTGCTTTATTGAATAAGTTTATACTGAATTTAAAATGAATGCATAGTTATTTATTAAAGTCCATGAATATTTCTTTAATGTTAGCAATTTTTATGTCTTAGTAGCAAAATAAGTTTTCCTACCTTCTTCATCCAAATCCCGAGACTCATTTTCTGGCTCAGACAGGCGTAACTGCAGTACGTGACTGTCAAAGAAGTCGCCAACATTATTGACTATCCGCTCATCAAGCTGCACTTCTCTGGTCTTCGGATCTTCAGCTAAGGGTTCGTAGCTTCGGGCTGACCGCGCCGATCCTGTGTTGATCAAGCTAATGCCTTCGAAGAGGTTTACATCTTTTGTGACGGCTAACCTTTCAGCAAATTTGAGGGCTTTTTCCTAAAATTAAACAGGAAAATTAATTAATTACAGACAATGTGACGTTTTAAACGTTTCTAAGAAATAAATTTACTAAAATGTTGATAATCTTCAAATATGTATAGTCGTTTTATTTAATTGACTTGAGCAATCCAAAATAAGCTTTCGCTCCAAAGAAAAAAGTAACGGTGACATGTCTATTTTGAATTTAACGCCGGCTTTGACAAACAAAGGATACGTGGTCCAAAGCTTTCGAATCCAACACAATGCATCACTTCACACTTAGCACTAAATTCACTATTCACCTTTAAACACAGTGAGGTATCTCTATCAATACACTCGGAGACGGCACCCACAAAATTTTCAGCGATGCCATTTTCTTTTACCGGATTGCACTTCACTGATGCCAGAGCGGCAATTAAAGCTATACCCTTCCACATATTGTCTTTGGTAAGTGACCTCACGTACCGACGCTGTCAGAGTAATGATGTTTTTCCAAAAACCTCTTGGATTTTATCCTTCCACCCCCCACCGTTTTAGTACCGTGACGTAACACGTGTACGTCGTTTGACGTTGTATGTTAACTGACGTACCTTCAGCTAGTACGTAAGGATAAGTAGAAAAATAAATATTTGTTGGTAGAAAGCGAAGTTTGCCTTTACGACATCCAAATACGCACTTTACGGCGTTTGTGATGCTGGTGCAAATGAAATGAAAGAAAAAGTGTGATTGTTTGATTTTTTTGTTAAACAAACTCTATAAGTGAAAATGAGTGGTATAACCGTTGCTAGCTGTCAGATGGTCCGTTAAATTTTTACTCGTCAGTCTATTGCAAAATAAAAATTTATATTAAAATTATATATTATACAAATAAAAATTATAATATTGAATTCATATTGCACTCTCGCATAAACACTTCCTAATTTTATATGTAGCTATTTTTTTAATTCTCTCAATTTCGAGGTCACGACAAAACCGGAAAGGTATGGAATCATGACCCCGAAGCAAACTTTCTGTCGCATGATATGAGTTTCTATATTTGTGTAAACATGAATTTAGTTATCACACACATGCAGCATTTCAAAGTAATTGTAATTAACTAGTGGTTAAATGGTAAATTGGTAATGATTATGAGGAGCGGTTCACGGCATTCCTCGCGCGTTGCTGTTCTTGTTACCACTGCCAAAATAAAAACATCTACAGCTTCTGATTTTCTTATTTTCTCATTTTCTTATCTTTATTTAAACAGTGACAACTGCATTGAAGAACATTTAATTATTATAATAGTCCAAAGTCAAACTCAGCCAGATCTTTTGAGCCAATCTCAGCCAAAAACAATATTCATTTTATGCATTAGTCTGCATTATCGAGTGTACCTCATCGTAAATCTCCATGTGTAAAAATGCTTTCTTTACCTAAAACTTTTGACTACAGAGGACGTTAGGTAGTTCCCTATGACATTCATGTTTAGAACTTAATATACATTATATTATGATGGCGATGAGTACCATATTTGGTATGTTAATATAATTTTAGATCTACAAGACCAATTTTCTTGATTTTTCTATATAAAATAATAATGGAATGATAATCTCGGGTACGCTATTAGTATTCTCGGGGGATATGTAAAGGAATGATATGTGAGAATCAACGTATTCATCACTATAGTTTGGCTTTTATTTGTCTTATTTTTTATTTATTATTGCTTAGATTAGTTAGGACATTGTAAAACAGAAACTGTCTGACTGTCAAGCAGAAATGTATGCTGTTGCCACCTGTGCAGCTATGAAGCTGGATAATAATGTAAAAAACAAGAATATTTAAATTTTAAGTGACAGCCAAGTGACTATCAAAGCATTTATATCAACAAGGATAAATTCAGGGTTAACTTTAAATACCATTCAAAATCTGAATAATTTGGGTAGATATAACAGGGTTAGTTTGATATGGTTCTAATGCTAACACTTCGAATAGAAATTAAAGTAGAAGAGAATTTCTAGAATAATTGTTAAGCAATTTAATATGTCGTACAATACGCCATTGTTTACTCTGCCATATCTTCCCATTATAATTATCACTTTCATTGATAGGAGAAACTTTGACTAGACGTTGACACTCGGCATTACCTATTAACTCAAACAAATTGTAAACCTCCTCTTTTTAGAAGTTATTTAAAAAATACAGTTAAATTAATAAAGAAACTTCCAAAACATTCTATGTCATTATTATATAAGTGTAACAATTAACCCAGTTCTAGTTAGTAAATTATACAGTATTATACAAGTTTAGTGAATTTTGTGAGAAAAATATGATGTCTGTGGAATAGATGGTATAAAAATTAAAATTTGTTCGTAGTTGTGTCAATGATTGATCAAAAGGTTAAAATTAAGAGAAAAGTCATTTACGTGTTGGAAACACTTTCTTTCATTCTAAATACATATACAAATTTATATATTAAAATCAATGCAGAATGTATTTTACTATAGTTTTTAATTGGTTTTATACTCCACAATAAAGAAATGGTAAGTTCAGTGCGAGTTCAATCTTCAATCATCATGAATATAGGGATCAATACTACAATAACATCCTATCGATTGCAACAAAAATTCAGAAAATTGATTCAAAACTTGCGATTTAATCGTATAATACTTATAATTGTAAAAAAAACACATGAATATATATAATTTAGCCATGTTGTCCAGGTATAGAATGGACCGACCTTCCTTTCTCGCAGGTGTCTTAAGAGTCGAAGGATGGGCAGTAGCGTCTAAAATCTACAGTTAATAGCTGATATGGTATATTATATCATATCAGCCACATATATATATATATATATATATATATATATATATATATATATATATATATATATATATATATATATATATATATATATATATATATATATATATATATATATATATATATATATATATATATATATATATATATATATATATATATATATATATATATATATATATATATAGCTGGGTACCACAGCGCGCAATATCATCATGACGTGCATATCTAGGATGTTGTTGCAGATCATTAAACACGTCTCTATATAATTGTATAGATTTTGAGCATCTAATTACATAGTATTATTATCCTGTGTCACTATTGTCTCTGAAATTCTTCAGCCGATTTTAATGGAATTTTATGAATGTGTATTGTTTTCTTCTATTTGAAGCATAGAAACTTTTTGTCGAATAAAAATAAAAATTATCAGCGGTTTTATAATAGAATATGAATTAATAAATACATTTTATATAACAAATAAATTTAAGAAAGAACTGCAAAAATTACTCTTACAGTACAATCGCTTCTAAGACCGGGTTATGTTTACTGACCAAGACAAAAAGTAACCTATATCCTTCTCCGTCTTATATACCTATATACCAAATATTATATAAATTGGTTAAGCCATTTAGGTGCCAAAAAGTAACAAACAAACTCACTTTCACATTTATAATATTAGCAAGGACTAGCTGACCTAGCAAATGTTTGACAACGAAGTTACTAGGTACAAAGGCATAACATGTTCTCAAAAATGACAAAGCAAGATGTAACATTTGATCATAGTGTATTCTGCGTTATCTATAATGTAAATATATAAAGACATGTCGTAAAGATTTGGTAGCATTTCAAGACGGAAGGATGAAGCTGCTGCCCATCTCTCGACCATCAAGTTCCCTTAATCGCCTCTTAGATACCCACGGAAAAGAAAGGGCGGCCCAATCTATACCGGGATCGCAAGTTATATTTTAATATGTTACAGGCGTAAAATTGAAGACGAGATGGGTTCAAACCTCAGGACACCAATATTGCAAAGATCTATAACTTTCTTTTTCTAAATTAGGTAATCGTGACACTTTATAAAGTATGTTTTCCCTTTCTATCGTATCTGAACCGAAATTTCACCTTCGCATTAAAAAAATTTAATATGCAAAAATTTTTTTGGTAATATTTCGTTGAAGAACCAGTTTTGTTTGGTTTCGAACTTATTAGCATATACCTCTTAGTTTGAGGCAATGAACTTAACATAGGAGTTATGCTAATTTAAACGAAATTCTTAATTTATATTTCCTACCGTCTGTGACCCTTGCCCTAGAGAGAAAAAGCCACGTCCTAAAATTCGTTTTAATGGCGCTCGAAATGACAAACAAGCTGACGGCTCACCTGATTGACTGGTAACTGTCACTTGTAAGCAAGAAGTGAATGTTATGCCCATAGCACCCCATATGCGTTGTCAATCATGGTAGTTTTCAAACGACTTCAAAAAGAAAAAGGTTCTCAACTCGGTAGTTATTTTTTTTTTTATGTTCGTCACATCTCCGTCGTAACTCCGTCAGATATAAACCGATTTAGCAAATACTTTTTTCATTCGAAATGATATATTTACATATTAGTTCCATAGAAATTTTATCCCCTCTCAACGTACTGGTTTCGCTTCAAATTCTTTTCTTTTACATTCTTCACGACTCTGGAACGCGCTTCCTGATGCCATTAAGAGACTACCGACTAAACCGTCTTTCAAAAAAACGTTCATGCTCACTTTTTTTACTTTATCCAAATGAGTAAGTGCTTTATATTATTAATTTCATATAATATATATATTCATATATGTGTAAGTATATTTGTTATTTATTTGTTCGTTTATATATGTAATTTTATATCACTGTATATCATATGTATATCGATAATTGCTAGTACCGCATTCGAGTATTCTGACACTTCTCTATGGTTGACTGGGAGAGAATGCTGTTAGCATTAAATCCGCCATGTACACATATTTGTACTAATGAATAAATAAATAAAATTTTACCAAAATCGGTTCAGAAATTTGGTTTTTAAATCATTTTTAAGTCGGGTTTATTTGTAAAACACCGTCTTAAGGTACTATTTGCAAACAATCTTCCGTTGCTTCAATACTAATTTTATTAACTAAATATTTAACTAACTATTAAAAAGGAAGACCACAAATTAATTGTATTTTTCACTAGGTTTTTGCTCATTACTTTTTTTTGAAGTAAAGAGAGAGTCTCTTGTATCATGGGTGAAACAGTATGTTTTTATGTCCATGGTAACGTTCTCTACTTCTATAGGCAACGGTTACCACTTTCCATCAGGTGGGCCGGCAGTCTGTTTGCCATTCTAAGTTGCATAAAAAAAAGACTTATGTTCCGCTGTAGACTGTTAACAGCTAACATGATATTCATTGTATAGGTATCTATTCACTTTATCACAATTTTAGTTTTTATGAAAACAACCAGGCATTGAAAGCAGAACATTACATGCAAAAATATTATTAGCCAATAATGAAATAACGTCAAAACGCTTCAGTCATCTGCGTTAATTTTTATGTCATTTTTCTAGCTCTTAGTGAAAGTGAAATAGTTCTGCAAGAGGTGTACCTATTGACTGGGTCAAACTTTGGCCTTTGACTTTGGAATATTTATTGTAAAGAGCAATACGAACTCATTTTCTAATGGATATACGAGTAT